TCGACTCCCCCCCCACCACCAATGCTGAGTTTTTCTGGATGACTCTGGGGGTCCAGGAGGGCTAAGAAGGAGCTGCTGCTGGTACCACCACCAACTGAACCCCCCTCCCCCTGACATCTTTGCCCCCTTCTAAAGCTTTTAAGTCATTTTAATTTTAATGATGCAGTTAGTTTGCTCCCTGCCCAAGTCTTCCAGATGGGATAGGGGCGGTATGCAGTGGGAGGGCTCAGAATTACTAATCTCAGGGCCCTAAGGGACCTGGAAGGTCATCTGCCAATGCTCCCCCAAACTTTCCAGATGCAAAAGATCACCTGGGAGGACTTGTTAAAAATTTAAATTTCTGGGCAGCATTCCAGACCCACAGACTTCCATTCTCAGGGGAGAGACTTGGGAAGCTGTGGGCTTAACAAGCAGCCCAGGTGATTCTTATCAAGAAGTTTGGGAAAAACAGAGTCCAGCCCCAGTTCTGATCCTTATAACACTCACGGCACCAAATGGGCACTCCCATCTGCTTGCACACCTCTGGGGATGGGATGCTCACCACTTTGTGAGCCAGCTCACCTACCTGCAGAAGACACACTCCAGCCCAGAGTTCCTTCTGGCACTAGATGGGACCTCCCTGGCTGCCCGTGTGTGTGTGTGTGTGTGTGTGTGTGTGTGTGTGTGTGTGTGTGTGTGTGTTCCCTCTGGTACAGGATATACTGCTTCTCCTGGGACCTAGTATCCTGCCCTCTCCCTTCCTGGTCAATCTCTGGCTTATCTGCGCCTCTGTTGGCCAGGGAGCTTCCTTCCTTAGCAAAGTGTTCCGAGTACCAAAGAAAATACCGTAGGGATGACCCAGGCATGGGGGTAGGGAGGGACTCTCCACAGCAAACCTGGGTGCACCTTCCCAGGCATAGGTAACATGGTGCTGGGGCCTCCTGTGGTGGACTGTAGTGGGTGTACCTGCCTCCTCTGGCAGGCACCATCATCAGTACCTGGGGGAAGCCGCGGGAGGCAGAAAGCGAGCAGGGCCTCAGAACTGCCTTGGCCTGTCCGGGGTCATTCCGCCCACAGGAGAGAAACTTGTGACTCATCGGAGGCTGTTGAGTAATCCTGATCTCTTGGATGACATGGAGGAACTGAGGCCAGAGGGGGCTCTCTTCAAGGTCATCTATCCATTAAGGATAGCTGGGGCTGCAAAGATGGGGTCAAAAGCCCCAGGGAGGGTGCCCAGGACTGAGGCCCTTTGCAGCAAGGATCAGCAGAGCCCCGAAGGCTGATAAGGATAGGCAAGGACTTCTGCATTCTTGCTCAGCATTGATGGAGAAGAGTCAATACATTGAGGAGTTTTAGCAGAGTGAATGCCTGTCTGTCTGGATTACAACTCTTCCTTTGCTTTGCCTGCCAGTTTGCATTGTTTCTGCAGAGATGCAGTGCTGTCTGCCAGTCAGACTTGCTATTTTATTTTAATAGACAATTAAGAGAGAAGCAGTGGTACACATTTCATGGGTGTCATCATTCACTGCAAAGTCTTCCCTCCCAAGAGCTCTGTACACCTTTGCACCCCCAAATTCAGCCTGCTCTCCATCTATATGGGAGAAGTCTGGGTCCCTACAGATGATGGTATATGACTCATTTTGTGATCACCAGGCTCCCCCAAACCCTCTCACACCCAAAGCCTGCTCTGATCACCGAATGTCACTGAGGGGGCGGGGGGGGGGGGCTCGACTCTGGGGAAAGAGGAAGAGGAGAATTGCCTGACTCTCACTCTCAGGATCCTCCTTGGAGTGCCCCATGAGCTGGGGAGACAGAAGAGAAAGATTCACCTCATGCTCTGGAAGACCAACCCCAGAGAGAACTGTGTGAATACGGGTACCTGGGTGAGGTCTGAGGAGGACAGGGAAGCCTTTCAGGAAAAGGTTCCACCTCCCTGCAGGCATGAAACGTAGTACGGACGGAAAGGGCAACCCTGGTGCAGAGATGGGGAGCTGGGCTGTGAGCGTGCAGAGGAAAGTAAGGTGAAGCCAGCAGGGCAGGGACCTCCTAGAGAGGCAGGCAGGCCCGGGCAGGTTGGGACCTGGTGCACCTGACAGAGAGCCGCAGAGGAAGTTTGTTTTCAGCTTTTATCAAAATACTACATCCATGCAGAAAAGTGCACCTATCCTAAGTGTGCCGCTGGCCATTGCCATGACGTCAACACACTACACCACCACACAAATCAAAACACAGAACATTCTAGACCCCTTCGAGCCTGCTGTGTGCCCCCTTCTGATCTCTATCCCCCTCCAGGGTAACAACTAACAACATAACAAGCATATAGTTATCTATTGTTGCCCCAAAACTTAGTGGCTTTAAACAACCAACCATCATTTACGGTGTCCCCTAATTCTGTGGTTTCCGTTGGACTCCTGGAGCGCCTGTCACCTGAGGGCTCCGCTAAAGTGGAAGGTCAGAGGTGGCCATGGTCACATCTGGCAGTTGGAGCTGGCTGTTGGCGGAGCAGCCTCAGCTCTCCTCCATTCTCCTGTGGGATACACCTTCTTCCTTCATGGCCAGGCAGGGTGCCAAGGCAGTCAGGGCCAAAAAAGAACCTTCCTCTCTATTAGTCACTCAGTGCCACTATCAAAACAAGTCTCAAGGCCAGCCCAGATGTGGGGGATGGAGACTAGAGCCTGCCTCTTGATAGGAGTGGTGCGGAGAGCCTATGGACATATTTAGACTGCCACAGCAGAGTGTCGTTTTGCCTGTTCTGGAGCTTTATATAATGGACCCTTGTATGTTCACTATTGTGTTTGGCTTCTTTTGGTCAACATTATGTTGGTGAGATTTATCTATTTGGGGCCTCCCCTGGTGGCGCAGCGTTTGAGCGCTGGGCTGCAAAGCTGCTCACAGTCTCTGCAGCGCCCGTTCGATCCCCGACCACCGGCGAGGGTCCCACATGGTGCACAGACCTCTCCTGCCATACCCACTGCTCCCCTCAGCAGTGTATTTCGTCGGTCTTCCTGTTCTGTTCCCCGCTCTGGCTCTGGTGAATTCTCTCACCCTCCTGCACTTCTGACTGTACCCAGTGCTTATATAAATAAATAAATCTTAAAAAAAAAAAAAAGATTTATCTATTTGGTTGGACAGATCATCCATCCTCATTGTTGTGTGACATTCCATTGTGTGGATATACCAATTTATATTCTACCATTTGGGGAGTTTCTTTTGTGGGGGACATTATGAATTGCAGGGCTGTGAACATTCTAGTACATCTCTCTGGGTGAACATGTGTGTGCATTTCTGTGGAAATGGAATTGCTGGGTTGTTGATAGGCCACAGAGCAGAAGATACAGGTTTCCTTGTTCTCTGGAAGTAGATTATTGCTAATGAAAACTTTCATGAACAGAAATGATTTAAGGAAATGAAACAATGACCATTACTTTACATGAAAAATATTTTGAGCATTCCCCGACCCAAAAATCCCTTCTAAATCATACCATATAACACATCAAACAAAACAATACTGACATCTAGTAAAAGCAAGAGTGATGTGTTAACTCCATAGCCTTCATAAAGCAGTTCTGGGGAGGAGCTTTGTGGGTCTGTCTTGCTGATGGGGGTGCAGGCTGGAACAGCTGCTGCAAAGACAATATTTGTCGTAAAAGCAAACATCCTCTTCGGATTTCTTTTGGTTAGTGAAAACAGGTACTCATGTAGGTCTTTTATAGAAGTGAAGCAGTATAATTTTGAAAAGCCGGGGATTCCTGTACTTCCAAACTGTCCTCCAGGCTGGTAACCAGTGTATGCCCCACCAGCAGTGTTGGGGGCAGGAGGGAGGCTAAGAGTCTCTTCGAGGGCAGTGAGATAGGCAGTGAGGATTTTAAAAAGACCCCCACAAGTGAAGATGAACAGTGCAGAGAGGTGTCTGCACTGGAAGACATTTCTGATCCTGGGGCTCCAGATAATGCTGTCTCTGTCCTCTCTACACCTCAGGCCTCCAGGCTGCAGCAAGTGGCACCCTAAAACCAGATGGCTCTGTTCTGCGTGGGATCTCTCCTGCCCTAGGGCCCTTCCACTGCCGCCTCTTCTTTACCAGAGGCTGCTTCATGACTGGTTTGGTCCCCCAACAGTCAGCGCAGCTGGGGGGACTTTCACTGCAGCCCCCATCCATGACAGCTCCAGGCAGTAGGCAAGGGCAGGAGACTTGGGCTCTGCATCTGACCTTGCCTCTCTGCACTGAGATCATGGGAGGAAATCCATTTCTTATCAAGTGCTTTTCCTTTGACCAACCTGAACCCTATATTCTAGAATCTAACAGGGAGGAGCCCCTCGGAGATCTCAGCAGTCGTCCTCACTTCAATACTTGTCAGTTGGCCAATTTTGTTCAGCTTGTTCACTGAACACTTCCACTGCTCCATCCGTCCGTCTGTCCATCCGCCCATCTGTCCATCTCTGTGGCCTTCCTAGAGTCAGAGGATAGGGAGATAAACTAGATCTCATTCCTGATGTCCAGGAGCTCCACACAGGGAAGACACTAGCTTCCAGAATGCTGGAGGAGAACAGTCAGCAAGACCCAGGCCTGCTGAAGGAATGAGAAAAGGACGGAGGGCAGCTCAGCGAGGACTCTGCTGAGGCATTTGAGCAGAGTCTCAAAGGCCAATGGGACTTTGAAAGACAGAAGTTGTGGCGAAGGGCTCCGGCAGAGCACCTAGCATGTCCCAAGGCCCAGGGCCAGGGGGGCCGGGCCGACTGCAGTGCAGTGGGGGTGTGCCACTTGGCTCTGGCTGTGGTGTTGGCCTATGGAAGGGTTCACCTCGGTGCTAGGGCCAGTTCTGGGGCCTCATATGTGAAGTACAAGAAATGGGACTTCACGGGGGGGTAGGGAGTAACATTTGGTTTCTAGGATGGCTAGGGCCAGCTGGGCCTACCAGGAAATGGCCTATGCAGCAGGCAGGGCCTGGAGGTGTGTGAAGGTGGTGAAGGCTGCCTGCAGGATCAAACCTGGGGTTCACTGTGCCCTCTGCTCTCTCTCACAGGACCTGCAGCTACTGCACTCATCCAAGTCAGACTGCTGGGCTGCTGCCTCCTTCCTACAGCAGCCTTGAGTCCTGGTCGTCGGTGGAGGCCTTAGCAGGTAAGCAGGCTGCTTGGCTCCTGGTGCTGTGTCTGGTCTGCAGTGTGGGACCTGGCCCAAGAGACTTCTGCTGTTTCTGGGCCTGGAGAGCACAGAGCTAGGCTGCCATCACGGAGGCATTAGGGGGAGGGGCTTACTTTTTAGTTTTTATTTCACCTTTGCCTCCTCCTCTGAGAGGGAGCTAGAGTGTAGAGCACGGCAAGCCCTGGCCAGGGACTCCGGTGTTTGGTTCTTTTCTGTTGCCAGCCCCCAGTGCAGCCATGGGTAGCTCTGCCTTCAACTACTGAAAGCCCCAACTCACTCAACTAGCACACGAGAGTAATGAGAACATCCTCTACATTCTGGGCACTTAGCTGTATCCAGGCACTGGCTCAGCACTTTTCACAACAAGACTGTGAGAGTCTGTCATCACCCCCATTGTGCAGATGAGAAAACTGAGGCTATGGTCAGCAGGTGCCTGCCCAAGGCCACACATCTGACTCAGCCCTATGGGGTTCAATTCCAGGTCTGTGTGGCTTCGGTACACCAGCCCCTCATGCTGGCCTTGCCCAACTCCGCTGACCTCTTGAGGATGGAGATTGAGGCTGTCATGGATGTCCCTAGAGGGTTGGATCCTGTCCCAACTCAAGGCAAAGGGAGGGAGATTTTATAAGGTGACAGTGGCTGCTGGTTGTCTGGAGTCGTGACTCATTTGTGGATATGATGTGACATGAATCATGAGGTGGCACCCAGGACCCCTTCTAGTGGAGGGGTATGTTGACTGGTTAAAGCTCTCCCTGTGCCTCCCAAATTCATTTTCCCAAGCTTCCATTAAGCACCTACTGTATGCCAGGCCTGGGGATGCAGAGGCAATGGCCTTGCCCCATTCTGTGTGCTGGATACAGAATCAGGGAGGCCACAGTAGATATGGCAAGTCCTATAACACGGGGTCCAAGGATTCAGAGACTAAAAGGGAGCGTTCTTGGGGAGATAACCAAAAGTGAGTAACGTTGTGGGCAGCCAGGGACAGTGGGATGACTGTACAGACTGGTCAGATGAGGGGCCAGATTGGCAAGGGGATAGGAAGTTGTTAAAGGGTCTCAAATATCAGACTGGAGCATTAGATTCCCGCACAGTAGGGAGCCAAGGAAGGTTCTAAATCAGGTAGTGGCCAACTGAATGTAACTGCATTAGAGAGACCCTGGTTAAAAACAAGGAGACTAATGAGGGGTGTCAAGGGCCCAGTGAGAGGTCAGAGGCCTAGCTAGGGCCGGAGTGATGGGCACAGACATAGAGTGAGAATCCCAGGAGGCTGAGGCAGGGAAGTTGGCAGGATTTGCTGTTGGCTGGTAGTGAGTGGACATGAGGGTAGAAAAACTGCTGTGATTTAAGGTGGGGGTTGACATCACAATTTGGAGTGAATGTGCAGTCTAAAGTCCAGGAAAGCTTCCTGAGGAAATAGTCACCATCCACCCCCCAGCTCCTGGCCAGGGTGATCGTGAGGGTCAGAGATCACCAGTGTACAGGGGCAAGAACAACTCCTGCCACTCTAGCATCTACAAATCAGAACTAATATTCCCATGAGGAGAGAGCAGGTTATGGGGGCTAAGGGCATTACCATGCTGTGTCTGTGGGCCCCTGAATCTTCCCCTCCCCCCTGGGGTCTCTATCTCAACTTCCTGGCTGTCCTTTGAGTCATGTGTATAACTAGCGGTGCAGTCTACGTCATCTGTACCCATCCCTATCAGCACTTCCCCTGGGACTCCTGCAAAGACGGGGTCCGTGATGCCAGCTTTGTCACACCAGCCCACTAGAGTTCCAGGCAGGTTACTTGTACACACTCACTAAATCCCCCACAGCCCTGCAAGGGAGACCTTACTCAACAGTTTACAGATGAGGAAACTGAGGCACAGAGAGGGTAGGCGAGGTTCTCAAAGACTCTTACTCCTACCTGTTAAACTGGGCTTCAGAACCAGGCCATCAGATAGCAGAGTTTATGCTCTTTTCTCCGGTGAAATCCTTTTGAGAACAGGTCATTTAACGCCCATTTTTTAGATGAGGAAACTGAGGTTGAAAGTGAGTGTGCCACACAGCTAGGAAGTGGCAGCTGTACCCCCAGAGTCAAGAATTCCTCTCTCTTCCTTCTTCCCAATAGCTCCCTTCCAAGTTGATAGGGGATCTCCAGGAGTTTCCTGGCTCCTGGGTTTTAGCCTGGCACAGTATTCCCTGGCCAGAAAAAAAAAAAAAGCATCCTTTTCCTTGCCAGTGAAAAAGTGGATTGTTCTCTGAGGCCTACATCTGGGCATGATCTTCAAGACCCAATTTCTTCTTCAAGACCCTTTCATAAAATTTCCTTTAGAAACATGGTCTGCTGGAAGTTCCAGGGTGCCCTGGCTCTGGGGAAGGCAGGTACTGCTTGCACACCTGGTAGCAGGCTCTTTAGTAGTGTCAGGGTATGGAACCATGGCGCTTGGTTGGGGGGTCAGGTCCACATATGGGGAGGAAATCTGAGAAAGGTTCCCAGGAGGTGATGCAAAGGGAAAAGGATGCCAGGCTGATGCAAAGGGAAAAGGAAGACCAAGTAGAGGGCCCAGCTTTGGTAAAACTCCAGAGAATGAAAGTTCATTCACTGGTCTCCCCACTGGCCCTCAGCAGTGCTCTTCAGCCTCCCCTAGAGTCAGGATCAGCTATGCAATGTGTGGGATCTGGGGCAAAATGACAATGCAGGGCCCATTGTTCACAAATAACTTGGGTTTTCAAGGTGGTGTAGCAGAACATTACATAGCAGTGGAGTCCTTCTAAGTCCCAGGCCCTGTGCCAGTGCCCGTGAAGCCAGTCTGCTGTAGAACAGGGGAGCTGCTGTGAGATTCAGTGTGAAGAACTAAGTCCCCTGCAGGCTCCACCAGCTACCTGCCAGTGACCTTGGGCAAGTTCTCCCACTTTGTCAGTCTCATGACCCAGGGGAAAGATGTTGCCCTCCCCGAGCAGTGCCTACATCGAGCTTGTCCTCAGCAGTCCCAGGACAATGGCTTCCTTTAGGGTGGGATTACAGCCCCTCTCACAGGCAGTGGTATTTGAGGATTTCCTGAGCTTTGTCAGCCTAGTTTTTCCAAATCCAACAGAACAGAGGTGGAACAGGTGGGGTAGTAGGGGGCCAGGGTGGGGTGGGGAGAAGAGGGGCAGGGGTCTGCTCTGTGTTTTATTTGCAAAGTCTTCTGCCTGACTACCCCCTGCCTCGCCCATCTGTGCATGGCAGACTCACTCCTGCAGGTCAGATGCCACAGAGTCTTCTTTGACCCCAACCCCACCCTCATGACCTTTGCCCTATGGCCCCTCCAGTAACAATGACCTCTTGCGCTCTTGAGTTCTCTGTAGTTCACAGAGCTCTTTCACACCCCATCAGACCATGGTGCCAGCCCTTAAAGGTCCTATTTTTGTTTACCATTTGGGGAAACAGAGGCTCAGAGGTGCAGCCCTCACCCGAATTCTGGACTGGGGTGATACCCACATCAGGCAGGGGTGCAGGCAGTGGCAACATGAGGTGGCACCTGGGCTTTGTTCTGGGTCAGCTTCACATTTTGGCATTTTGGAAGACTGGTGTTTCTCTCTGGTGAAAAGCTCCAGAAGTGCCAGGCTTGCTGAAAGAGCCTGGTGCGGCTGGAGGTCTGGCCAGCTGGAGCAGACATGCCCTTAGCCCAGCTCCTCCCTCTGGCGACTTGGCCCAGTACCCACTGCAGGCGGACTGGAGCCAGGGGCTTGTGGCTCCAAGGCTTGAGTAAGTCCCACATCAGGCAGAAGTGAGAAGGCCCCAGCTGGTCTGAGGCTTATAGCCCACAGGGGCTGATATGATGAGAGGTGTCTCGTCAGAGGCAGGACAAGCTGTCCCTTGTGGCTGACACTTTATAAAAGGTACTCAGGATACCTTTGGTGAATGAATTTACAGGGCACAGATATGATTAAGGGTATAGACTCTGGGCTAGGCTTTGGGATTTTCCAGGCTGCCACTCCTCTTTCTTTGTGACTTCAGATTAGTGGCTTAACCTCTCTGGGCCTCATTTCCTCACCTGTGAAGCAGGGATAATAATAGAACCTCTTTGCTGAGGTGGGAGGAATTCCATAAGGTAAGCCATGTACTGCAGGTCCTTGAATAATGTCATACCCTAAAACCTTGTTTCATTATAAGATCAATGAGAAAAAGAATCCCAGTGGACTTTGAACCAAAGGACCTTACTTGAGGACCTGCTTCCATTGTAAGCCATCTCCCTTAAAGTCGCAGTTCCAAGGGAGTGACATGGTTGGATTGTCCCTCGAGAAATGATGTAGCAGGCCAGCATGGATTGGGGTTGGGCTGAATTTGGGTTCTATATGAGGTGATCACAAGGAGCTGTTGATCTGAGCTCTGTGGGCAGGGATTTGGGGTGATGGCCACTCTATCTGGCTAGCCCCTCCAGCCCCTGATTTGTGGCTGCCTGCTGTCAGAATGTACACCCTCAGCTGTCAGTTAGCAGACTTCCAGGGTTACAGGGCACAGGGCAGACTTGGGACTGGCTACAAGAACTTGAATACCAAGCCCAGCTCACAGCAGGCCTGGCCTTGGCCACACAGAGCTGGGATTCCAGGGTCCCCATGTGGCATGCCTATCAGTCATCAGCACCAGCTGAGAATGCACACACCTCCCTCTCCCTGCCTGGAATTTGTTGCCTGCAGCCTAGGCCCTTGGGCCCCAGCTTCTGCAGGCTGCCCTGGCCCTGCCACCCCTACCCCAGCCTGGAACTGGATATAATCTACAGCTCGCTGGGCAAGGAGGGGTGCTCCCTGGGCCAGCAGGGTGGGACTCAAGCCTCAGTCCCACTGCAGACCTGCCTAGGTGACCTTGGGTAAGTCACTGCCCCTTTCTGAGCAATTGTTCATTGGTCTGTAAAACCAGAAGTTTGGGACAGATCAGGGACCACAATGCAGTCTTCTCAAGGGTCTCAACAACCCCAGTAAAACTAGGATCGTCCCACACTGTGAGGGAGGAA